CTATTGGACTTTTTAACATAAATTCTATTTTTGCAGGGGCCTGCACATACATGGCAAGAGCTGGGCAACAACAATGTCATGGCGACGCATTGTTGGCCGACACCCTCTAATAACATAACTAAATATATCTCATATTAAATAAAATTCTAATTATGTTTATTTAGAATGCAATCAACAATTATCAATTGTAACTGTTTTACTCTTCCACTAGGGCCATTTTACAGTAAGGCCGTTTTAACCTAGATTCAATAGGACGTAAAACACAAACAAACCAAACCTTTGGCAAAAATAATAAAAATGTCCTTCCACTTCACAAGATTCTGTAAGGAAGATGACAGTATACTCTCTCAAATGTCCCATAGCCAAGCGACAAATAAAGGTTACAATTTCATCACATCACTGTACAGGTAAACAATACAAATCTCTCACTCAGTCAAAGCTTCTAATTCAGAATGGGACACGTTTAAGTCACATTGTGTTTAAAGTAAAACTTTGATGCATACATTTTTACAAACTCATGAATTTTGTTGAAGATATTATGTTCATAAGAATCACATCAGGGATGTCATTATAAGCTGGTTGCTGGTGCTGACAGTTTGATTACTGTTCGTCGCCTGTATCCCGACTCAGTGGCAGGTAGCAGGACAGCCTGTAACTATTTTTGAAAGATTTAAGGAAAAGAGTTAAAATTGGTGCATATATTGTTATATAGAATTAAATCAGTCAATTAAATTACCAACTGAAAAAATGGAGTGTAATTTTCTGAATCTGTGAAGTAAAATGATTTATGCTATACAATAATGCCATTGTTTCCTATACAATAATGCCATTGTTTCCTTTACAATAATGCCATTGTTTCCTATACAATAATGCCATTGTTTCCTTTACAATAATACCATTGTTTCCTATACAATAATGCCATTATTTCCTATATGATAATGCCATTGTTTCCTATACAATAATGCCATTGTTTCCTATACAATAATGCCATTGTTTCCTTTACAATAATTCCATTGTTTCCTTTACAATAATTCCATTGTTTCCTTTACAATCATACCATTGTTTCCTATACAATAATACCATTGTTTCCTATACCATAATACCATTGTTTCCTATACATTAATACCATTGTTTCCTATACAATAATGCCATTGTTTCCTTTACAATAATACCATTGTTTCCTATACAATAATGCAATTGTTTCCTATACAATAATGCCATTGTTTCCTGTATCCTATACAATAATGCCATTGTTTCCTTTACAATAATACCATTGTTTCCTATACAATAATGCCATTGTTTCCTGTATCCTATACAATAATGCCATTGTTTCCTGTTTCATATACAATAATGCCATTGTTTCCTTTACAATAATGACATTGTTTCCTATACAATAATGCCATTGTTTACTGTATCCTATACAATAATGCCATTGTTTCCCTTACAATAATACCATTGTTTCCTATACAATAATGCAATTGTTTCCTATACAATGATGCCATTGTTTCCTGTATCCTATACAATAATGCCATTGTTTCCCTTACAATAATACCATTGTTTCCTATACAATAATGCCATTGTTTCCTATAAAATAATGTCATTGTTTCCTTTACAATAATGCCATTGTTTCCTATACAATAATGCCATTGTTTCCTATGGCCAGGTTATGTTGGAAGCCAGTTGTTTTTCTTTGTGAGCTTTATTTCTTAAATATGTACAGTGGTTAAAAAGCAAAAAAAATGTTTTAATGTTTTATGTTCCATTGTTAGGTGACGTAGCCGCTACATCCAGACGCCCCGTGAATTGTAAGAGTAACGGGACGAGTAAGAAAGGTGTACAGAAGAGGCGCAAACAGATGAAAAAGCAGCAAAAACGCCGACAAGAGGAAAACTTAGTCATGAAAAATAAGTTGTTTGTTAAATCAACAGTAGGTTAGTACCATTTATATAAGGTCAGCTAATCAACAGTAGGTTAGTACCATATATATAAGGTCAGCTAATCAACAGTAGGTTAGTACCATTTATATAAGGTCAGCTAATCAACAGTAGGTTAGTACCATATATATAAGGTCAGCTAATCAACAGTAGGTTAGTACCAT